AAAAAAAAAAAAAAAAAAAAAGAAGCACCAGCAAAGGGCTAATATAGACAATCTCAGTAGCCAAGTAAAATACCAAACAAAAATCACCAGTGATGCCTCTCCCACTTCCAAGAAAGAAACCTGACAATAACTAAGAGATCACAAAAGAGGGGACCCTAAATTTTAAGTTACAGCCATTCTCTTAATGTATTGTTTGTATCTACAAACATATTATCTATGTTTTCTACAGAAGTATTTTCTATGTCTATAGGCATTTTATATATGCTGTAGCTCTATTATCCATAACTAAATGAATAACCTTTCATTTTAAACCCAGGAATTTTTTTTAGCGAAAATAGAGCACAACCCCCTCGAAACTAAAAAGGCTTCCCTGAACATAGTACCTAACTTCAGAGTTAAGTCCATTTTGTCAAGAGACCGTGAAAGGAACCTTTGTGTAATTCTCTAGTGGTTTTCAATGTTCAGTTTCTGAACTGACTGGCTTCCACTCTTGCCAATTCAACAGCTTTTCTATTAGATCCCGCAGAACTGAAGTGCTAGTTTCTGACTACATATGGCAATCTCCAGAAATAAAACGCTTCTCCCTCTACTTCCCTCCTCCCTCATATAAGTCACATTTTTCCCCCTCTGAACTTTCTACTGTATCACTTTGTGGACAAGATGAAACAAAGTGTGCAGCTAATCGAGAGCTAAAAGAACTCAAGAAATAGTTGTAGATCGGGCAAAACGGCGTCTCCCAATCTACCGAGACAGAGGCCGGGCACTTCAGCTGAGAGAGAGCTAGGGCTCGTGGGAGGCCCAGAGATGGGGCGAGGAGCCCTTTTGACCTCTGTCGCCAGGGCCGCCCAAGCATCCCCCACACACACGCGGCTGGGGCGCGGACAATGGCCCTTGAGCGCAGCAGTCCCAGGATGGAGGAAGGGAGGCCCCGGGTCTTCGGAACACACGGGCCCAGAAAGGCGGCTGGGAGGGACGCGGGCCGGGCGACAGCACCTCAGACCTGAGCGCGG